CAGCTTGTTCCCAGTTCCACCACCTGGCTCCAGAAGTATGCTGCTGAGACGGTCTCCAAGCTCTGACCCGAGTCATTGTCTCAATTCCTTGTTCTTCTAGAGTATTCTGTTGCCACTTACGCCAGTTCTTTTGGCAGTTGCACCTGTGGATTGAGGTAGTTGAAGGAAAGGGAAAAAAATTAATCCTGGAAATTCAAGAGTTTGGCAGCAAAAATGATAAAACTTACATGCGTCAGAAGTTGCAGAATGGATGAGAAATTTGGGCCAGAGAGCCTCCCAGAGCATAATAAAGCAACAGTAACAACTATATCCACCACTCCTGGGGCATTTAGTGATGCCAGGGACTGATCTAAGGGCTTAAGCACATGGTAAAGCATATCATAAAAACAGAAGGGCAGATGCTGGAGTCTGCCCGGTTCAAATCCTGGAACTAGTATTCCTAGCTGTGTAGGGCTGGGCATCAATTTTCTCAGCTGTAAAATGACAGTAACAGTTATGTGGCTAATGGACAAGGCCACTTTAAGGATTACGTCATATAAAACAAGTTAGTAAGCAACGCCACACTTCAAAAACATCTCATTTTATCCTACAATAGTCTTATAAAGAGGGGACAGGCTCGGAGAGGAGAAGATTAGTTAGTGTCAGAGCGGGATTTGAACCCAAATCTGCCTGATTTCAGGACCCGAGCCTTAACCACAAACAAACAAACAAACAAACAAACAAAAACCAACACAAGAGTATAAAATATATGTTCTTTTATAAACTGGTTTTTCCTTTTTGAAGCATATTCCTAATTTGAAACTCACTTAAATTTAAAAAAGCAAAATATTTGGAGAAGCCCCAAGGGCAAAAACAATTACCAAAGAGTAGCCTGACTACCAATTAACTTTCAGGTTTATTTCACAGGAACAACTTAAAGATAAGGCAAGTTCTTAAACAGTTGCAAATGGTGTCACATCTTAGGAGCGTGACTTATCCATCATGTAGGGACCTTCCAGAGGACACTGAAGAAGTACAGAGGACACTCAGAGTTTGTATAATAATGACTAAGATGGGAGGATTGTGACTGCACTTTCATAGGGCTCAACCATGGAGAACACAAAACAGTGAAGAACACCAGTGAGCCAAAAATACAACGCCAGGCAGCAAATAATTAAAACAGTGTGTTCTTTGTCTTGTTGAATGGGGGAAAAAAAAGCATTTTTATATAATGCTATTCCAGATACATGTTTATATGCAGGAGAGGGATCCAAACTAATAAAAATATCTTAAAAAGCAAAATGTGGCACTGACCCAACATAGTAAGCCCAGACACATACTGATATATTTAAAATATGACCAAGCTGGAAATGCAGATCCCTGTGAACAAGAATGAATCATGGTTAGCTACCATTGGTCAGCTATTTGGAAAAGAAATAACAAAGTGGGCTTCTTGCTCCCTACTTACTTCTAGAATTTAACTCTTTAATTCATCTGTAATATGGAATGTTCTCTTAAAAACCAAAAACTAGGTTAGTCCGGTGATGGGTATTAAGGAGGGCACATACTGCATGGAGCACTGGGTGTTATACGAAAACAATGGATCGTGGATCACTACATCAAAAACTAATGACGTATTGTATGGTGACTAACATAATAAAATTAAAAAAAAAAAAAAAACCCAAAACTATAAAAGCATCAATAAAAGATGGGCAAATATTTTAGTAAGCTTCAAAAGAAGCCATTTCTAAGCAGAACACAAAAGACAGAAACCAGAAAGGAAAAGAGAGCTATCCTCGATGTTCTAAATACATAAAACTTACAAGCACATGAGAATCAGCTTGCAGTACTGTCAAGGGCCCTGTTCCCCCTTCACTGACTGGTTCAAATTAGTTTAAGAGAAGTATGTATGGATAGCACCAAACAGGGCACACACGTGTATACACTCACAGAGACTGAGGCAGGAAGAGAAGATCCATCTCAGCAGGGGCTGTTTCATTTGGTGTCTCAAGTTGAATTCCTGCTCTCAGTCAACGCCTCAGTGGGTGTCCAGGAAGAGATGAGGAAGGCCTACTCTGAGGAATTCCGAACCTACTAGGAGACCCACTCTGAGGAATTCCGAACCTACTAGGAGACCCACACTATACCCATTAGGGTGCTCAACCTGAAGCAGAATGTGGGAGATGCTTTAAGAGAGGTAGAGATGAAGGGTCATGGAACTATAAAGGGAGCATATTCACTACGGATGGTTTGTTCGGTTTCTTTTGCTGTAAGAAATCCTATTTGAGCCAAGCCTGTTTGGGTAGCTTTCAACAGAGAAATAGAATTAAAGGTCATTTGAGCAGAGGGCATGGAGGCAAGAAAAGAAGACCCTTCAGGGCAAGTATCAGGAGATGTGGTTTACCCTGGGTGTCACAGAATTGTGGTTTTGGCAGTGTGGTGTCCACATAAGCAGCATCAGCATCACCAAGAACCTGGAGAGAAATGCAAATTCTCAGACACCATCCAAAATCTAATGAATCAGGAACTCTAGAGATGGGCTCAGGAATCTGTACTCAGCCTTCCAGGTGATTCTGATGCATGCTAAAATTTAAGAATCACTATCACAGACTTCAGAAATGTTGTATACTATAAACTCTTTTTCCCACTAGGTATTAGGAAAAGGCAGTTCCTACGCTGTGTAATTCTAGTCAACATATGCTCTTTCAAGAGGAGTTTGAAATGTTACATAGCTCTTTCCCATGGAGATTTCTTTTATAAGGAGCTAATGGAACAAATAAAATAAGGAACAAAAAAAATAGGGTGGGGGAAAAAAGTCGTTGAAGACAACTCTGGGGCTCTAGACCTGAATGTGTGAGAGAAGGGAAAGAACAATGAACACAGGGAACCAGAAACACAAGTAGACCTCAACTCAAGAGGTTGTCTGGGGAAAGACTGAACGAAGGAGCTAAGAAAACCCCAGTGATCTAAGCAGAAAGAGAGATCCGAGGAGTGTCCTAGATTATGTGACAATTGAAACAAAGGGCAAAGATAAAATGGGAAAGAGGAGGAAATTGCAAAAGTATAGAATCCAGAAATCCTCAAGAGAAAGAAGATCTTGTTAATGAGGCAAAGACATGGCCAGAGATGGAGATGAAGACTCAAGAGTCTGTAACGTCCCATTTCATAATCATAACAACTGCCGATATGTCATGGAGTCTTTTGGCTAACTAAGTCTGCTTTTGATATTCTTAAACTAAAGTCTTTCCAAAGGAGACATTTAGCTGTGTTTTTAGGCAACTGAGTGGAAGCAATCCAGATATACATAGGTGAGCCCAAAGTGAAATTGAGTGAATGTTAAACTACCTTTTTTGATCGGCACCAAAGCTTGCAGGTGATATAAATGCATTTGGCCTCAGTGAATGAAATGATTGTTGCAGATGGGATCTTATTTCAGGGAGAAGTACAAAGACCCATCTAGGATGGTAGGCAGTGAATGGCCCACAAAATTTTGGGATGAAAGGAAATCACACATTGGCCAGGGAGGGATAATCCTGTACAAGTCTCACGTCTTTGTGTTCGGGCTGGTATCATATTGACTCCGATATTAACTTATTGGGAAATGAATTTGTGATTACCTAATGAATTCACCTAAGACAGAGAGTTTAAAAACACACCTAAAAACAAGAACAAAACAAATGAAAAAATTCTACAGGAGCCAAGGAAGTAATGCAAATGAGGGAAACAGGCCAGGTATTAGGCAGTAGGGCATGGTGGAGACTGAGAGAAACTGGAGAGTCCATTACCTATCTCAAGGGAGAAGCCAAATGCCAGACCCAGCTGATGTGTGCCATGCAAATGCAAGCCCACTGTGGCCAGCTCTGATGTTTCAAATGGTGCCAGATATCTAAATGTTATTATGTGATATTTTAAATTTTGTACAACATCCAAGCCAAACACTCCAGGCCTGCAGATGTGGCTGATAGTCTGCCAGTTCTCCATACCTGGCCCACAGAATACATCTCTCTTAAACTGGTTAAATGGGCAGCTTCTTGGAGGAGGCAGCATTTAAGCCAAGCAAGTGTACAGATTTTCCTTTATTCTTTGCTATCAACTTCATTTCAAGAATCTCAGGCCAGAAGCATGGCATGGGGAAAGAACAGGCATTGAAATGAAAAAATACAATTAAAAAATATAAACAGACTGCTTGATGGGATATATTTTGCTTATGCAAAAATACTATTTGCAAGTCCATGAGAGGAAAATGAAAACAAAAAGGAAAACAAGACCAGCTAAGGCTAAATAATTTATGTTTTTGGACATTCAGGATTCTAGTTAGGAGCCTCAGTTTTTAAAAAATCACAACAAAAATGAAATCTTGCCATTTGTAATGACGTGGATGGAGCTAGAGGGTATTAGGTTAAGCAAAATAAGTCAGTCAGAGAAAGACCATTATCATATGATCTCACTGATATGTGGAATTTAAGAAACAAAACAGAGGAGCATAGAGGAAGAGAGGATAAAATAAAAGCAAGATGAAATCAGAGAGGGAGATAAACCATAAGTGACTCTTAATCATGGGAAACAAACTGAGGGTTGCTGGAGGAGAGAGTGTAGGGGGATGGGGTCACTGGGTGATGGGCATTAAGGAGGGCACGTGATGTAATGAGCACTGGGTATAAGACTGATGAATCATGGGCTTGTACCTCTGAGACCAATAATACATTATATGTTAGTTAATTGAATTTAAGTTAAAAAATATTTTTAAAAAATCACATTTCAAAATTATGCTTTAATTTTAACCTCACACTTGAAAACCCAGGGGTTTGGAGGGCATCTCTGTCCACAGCACAAGAGGGGGAGAGAACAACCTAAAAACCTTTAGTTTCACTTTTCCAAAGTGAGTGCTGTTATGTCTCATTTGACTGGCTACAAATATCCCTTTCTGCTGGGACTTTACCATATTACCACCAAGGGCGTTTTCAATATTTCACTCAGTCTAAGAGGCACATTTTGTGACATTTCCACAGCCCCCAAATCAGAAAGCACCTTACAATCCGTAAGCTTTATAACAGCTGACTGCAGATTCAAGCACGGACACACCACGGCCTTCTGCACCCTCAGCACTTCCATTAACCACCCACGCAGATGTATTGCCATTTAGAGTAGCTTTTTGAAGAGTGACAAAACCAACTTGACAAAATGTGATGGGTACGTAATAATTCTTTGTACTATTTTTGAACTTCTGCAAGTCTAAAATGATTTCAAAATAAAAAGACTATCTTCTAAAAAGATCACACTATGATTCAGCATGAAAGCAGAAATTTATTATGTAGCAAGGCACACAATTTGATCAGTGGAGAACAAAGGGTCATTAGTGGAGTGAATTTTGGTCAGTGGGATGATGCATTTGCACATTTTTTTTTTTTATTTTTTGCGGAGCATCTTACAGGACTACGTGGATGAAGTTGTGTGACATTCTCTATCTTAAGTACATGCAAAGAGATGTCTCTCACAGGCCAAGCCAGGCAGGTAAAAGAAGGAGAAATTGCCAATCCCTTAGAACAGATAAAAGACATTTCAAAGCAGAGGCTGATATGCAAGACCATCATTCAAAAATCATGTCAGAGTTTACTTTGAAGAATGTTCCTTTCTTAGTGGACATTAAGCACAAACAAAACACAGTTTAAAATTGATAGCAGTTTAGAACTAATTGAAAATTAAAAATGTAGCAATTAGCCAGGGGTTACGTTTTTGTCATTATCCTCATAAATTTATTTTAATGTCTTTTGTTCTAGAATCTCGACTCAAAGTTGAAGTGTTTTCAGTTGACTAAAAGGCAGAGTGTCCTGACTGTGGAAATTACAAAACCAAGACCGTAAGTTCCGTGAGGTCAAGACTGTGCCTGTCTTATTCACTGCTATATCCCTGCCCCTCTGATGGTAGCTGACATGCAGGTGCACTACGTAAGTATATGCTACATTAACGAATAAGTGAATGGGTAGAATGAAACAGACTCCAGGGTAAGCAGACTTGCTCAGTAGAACACTCCCTCGGAAGGCAGGGAATTGGGTCAGATAATCATCTGAACTTCATTCTCTCTTCTACTCTGAATCCACATGCCACCTCTAATGTAGATTTTTAAAAGACTTCTCTTAGGGCACCTGGGTGGCTCAGTTGGTTAAGTGTCCCGACTCTTTTTTTTTTTTTAAGATTTTATTCATTTGAGAGAAAGAGAGAGAGAGAGCACACTAATGGGGGGAGGGGCAGAGGGAGAGGGAGAAGCAGGCTTCCCGCTGAGCGAGAAGCCTGATGCGGGACTCCATCCCAGGATCCTGGGATCATGACCTGAGCCAAAGGCAGATGCTTAACCGACTGAGCCACTGGGCATCCCAAGTATCTGACTCTTGATGTCAGCTCAGGTCATGATCTCAGGGTCATGAGATTGAGCCCAGCATTCAGCTCTGTGCTGGGCGTCGAACCTACTTAAGATTCTCTCCCTCTCCCTCTGCCCCTCCTCCCCCTGCATGCACTCTCTCTGTCTCTCAAAAATAAATAAATAAAAATTAAAAACAACAACAACTCCTCTTCAGTCTTTTCAGACTGTTATTTTCTGATGGTACAGCCTCCCAGGCAGCTTGAATATGCCTTACCAATGACTGGTTACACAATGACAGAGCTAATTTCTCTCAAATCAACACCCCATCCACCCCCCTACAGGGGTCTGGCTGCCTGGAGAAGAGCAGGTGCAGAAAGTCTTGATGTAGTACCCAAAGGGCAGGAAAAGAACTCTTGCCTGACCTCACGGGACCTTCTAGTGTTCTCACCCTGGCTTCTACCCTAGGAAGAATCAGAATCCCTCTATGACATAGTGGAAAGTCTTCTTTGATTGAGAAGAATGGAATGCTGTCAATTCTGCATAACCAGGAGATGAGAATAAGGGATATACATCTGTGTAACACATCTTGAAGAAATTGTGACTCCCTATGATGAAATAACAGATGGACTATTTTGGCTAAATTACACACTAGATTTTAAAATAATACAGTTCATTATCAACTACCTGTGACTTTCGGACATACTCCTTTCAGATTCCATAAATGCTATCATAGTAATGACAAAAAATATTATTTCTTCAACTTTACCTGCAAGGAATAACACATTTTCATGTATCAGCAGCAGTTAATCATGGATCACTGTAAACATTAAAGCTGAAATAATAGTCAAAACTCCATTAATTCATGGTGATGCTAACCTGAAGTTTACCATTTGTCCACCTAAAAAAGTGAGTATATGTGTACAGTTGCAGGTAGTCTCTCTTCATCTACTAAAAAAGAACCAACTATTTTTAAACATTTTGGAAGCACTCAGTTACTTACAAGTGACGGGCCTAATTTAGGCTTTGTCCTTTATTATTCCCGCAGCAGGTTCCTCGAGATCTCTGAAGGTCAGCTCTGTGGCTGGGATGAATAAACGCTTGACCCTGGGCCTGCAGCCGAATTTCAATGTCAACTCTACCTCTTTCTAGCTCTATCTCCTATAGATGGTATTGAACTTCTCTAAGCCTCAATTTCTCTTTTATAAAATGGGGAGAATAATAATACCTACGTCATTGGGTTGTTAAGATGATGAGTTAATTCATATAATGCATCTGGCCTATAGTAAGTGCTTAATAAATGTTAGCTATGAATATCACTGTTATAAAGTTGTCTACATGTGTGCACATCCTTGGGGATAATTCGTAATTTCGGTTCCCTGGCAACGCTGATGGGCTTCCTCCAGTTAGTCACCACTAATGAGACTCTCCATGTGTTAAAACAAGCGGGGGGAGAGGTGGGATACACGGGAGCTCATTCACCATTTCTCCTTCTCTCTACTTACGGGCTTAAGATAGGCGACGTTGCTGTGACGAATGTCATTCAAGAGCTGATCTCTGGGAGTGATTTCTACCAATGGGGGTGGCCTGTTTCTTGGCACCGGTTTGAGCGTTCTGATGACATCTTTGAGGTTGGTCTTCTCAGGTGCTTCTCTGGCCTCGGGCATCCGAGACTTGCGCTGGATCCTCTTCAGCTTCACCACCCGGAAGGAGTCAGGGTCCGTCCTATACTTCGGAGGCTGTGACGGCTTCTTGATCATTTCATTCTGTTGACCGAAGGGGGCCGCTTGGGGGTTGGGAGGCTGAGGAGGAGGTTGGAGGAAGTCCCGCATCCTGGGATCGGGCATGGGTCCCCCCAACCTCTCCCACATTCCAGGTGGCAGACCCAACCCATTCTCCAACATGGCTATCAACTTCCTCTGCTCTTTGAGCTGCTCCTGCTTCTGTTCCTCTTGTCTTTTCTGCCGTTGCTTGTCCTGATTCCTGGTGAGCAGATTGGTTACCACCATTCTGGGACCTGGGAGCTCAAAATGGTAGCCCATCTTCAGGAGAGTGGTGTTTGCCTTCAAGAGCCGGGAGATTTCCATTTCGGCTTGGTGGCCCAGCATGTGTCTTTGATTGTGAAACCGAAGCTCCGTGAGTGTCTCATTGAACTGGAGGCACCTCATGATGGCCACAATTCCTTTACCTGTGATGAAATTGGACTCGATGTTGAGAGTGGTAATGCTCCTATTTTCCCGCAGCATGTTCGCCAAGGCGAACGCGACGCTCTCATCCGCGCCCACGTTTGCTAAGCTGAAGGTTTTGATGTGTTTGTTTTTCTTCATGGCATTGACAAAGTCCAGTAGCATCTCCTTGGGGATGTTTTCAATGTTGTTCAGGTTGAGCTCCTTCATGTCGGGGTCATTCTGTCTCACGCGCCTCAAGCTCCCATCCAGGTCTGTTTGGTTTCCCGAAGGCCTTGCACTCACTTTTAGAAAACTGGTATCTAGAGCTAACTTCTTGGGATCTAATTTTGATATTTTTTTCTCACCTTTTTCTTGGGCCTCTGGTCTGTCTTTCTGTTCTCCAAATGCCTTTACTTGTGGGTGGCTGCTCTCACCATTTCTGATCTGCCCCTTTACCTCGCCTTGCACCCCTCTTTGTGGCTTTTCCACGCTCTCTTCGCTGTCATCTTCTCCTTCCTCATCTTCATCCTCGCCATCCTCATCCTCGTCATCTCCTTCATCTTCTTCACCATCAGCATCCTTGGTTTCTGGGACATCATCGCTGCCTTTTGATTCTCTCTTATTTGCAGCGATTTCATTGTTGAGCTTTCCTTTTAAATACTGGGACACATTTTTATTACCTTTGTCTACTTCTTCATGCTGTTCTTGAGTGTCCACCTAAAAGAGAGGTTTATGCGGGTTAGAATGCATGGCAATGGAGAAACAGGAAGCAGAGCAGTTGCTACTGGAAATAAGAGATTGATTAGGAAGTGAAAAAAGTAAGCAAATAAGTGGTGTATATAGTATCCATTTGTGTGCATATACATATATAAAAACGCATATACAACATATAAAAGTTTATAAATGTATAAGAAAAACAAGTCTGCTGTAATGTTTACCCAATCAGCAGTTCTCTCTTAGAAAGAGAGGGAACCATTAAGGTAACAGGGAAGGGTGTGGTGCCTGGATGGCTCAGCTGCTGGAGCACTTGACTCCTGATCTCAGGGTTGTGAGTTCAAGCCCCACTTTGGGTGTACAGATTACTTTAAAAATAAAATCTTAAAAAAAAACCCAGATAACTGGGGAGGGGACGTATTTGGGGGATTTCCAGTTTTTACATTATATAATTCTGAAGTGTTTGAATGTTTTTTTTAAAAACAAGATACACATACTAGTTTTGTAAGCAAATATAATCTAAATAAAGGATGAACTTTTATAGCCATACTACAGATACATACAAACACATACTTTTTGGTTGTCTTTATCTCATTCCATATGGTAAAATGAAACCTAATTTTGTTTTTGGATTCTGTATTGTTTTTTAAAATGGTGTTCAATTCTAGAAGTGGTCCAAAAATTATTTGCTTTGAAAACCTTATGGAGTTACTCGATCAATACACTGAAGTCTTTGTTTTATATATATATATATAGTTTATATATATATATAGTTTTATATATACACAATTTACCTGTTGCCCTAAACAAAATTTACATTCCCAGGATATCTGCTAATCTAGTATAATGTGTATATCAACTGTCCCTGAAAACATAATATATTGTGGGGAAAATGAGAGCACTCTGGTACTCTGAAATATACCAAAGACCTAGACTTGGATTTTTTGTCTCCTCAGCTCTGTGACAACAGCCCTGACTACTCCAAGGACAGGATCACAAGTCCAGTTCTTTTGAAACAAAGTATCTAGGGGACAGTGCCAGCTACAAAAGAGGGCGGGATTATACAGACATTTAGAAACAACTGCTTAGTCTAGAAAGGAAATTAGCAGTCTCTAAACAATGACCTTTATTAGATCCTTGCCCATCAATTAGTGTGCTTGCCTATACCCCATGTGTACCTCATAGTGTCATTTCGGATGCTGGTGTAGCATTTTCAAGCAAGAACTTGATCTCGCTTACAACATATTGTAGGTTGGAAGTGACAGTTGACAACAGTCATCCTAACCACCTTAAAGACGTCCCCTGCATTTCTCATCTGTCCCAGCAGGGGGAGCCAATCATCAAGCTGTTTAAACTATACCAAGGAAAGAAAAAGTGTTCGAAGTACCCAATTTTCTTTTTCTGAAATTTGCATTCAGATAGAATTGGTTTTTACTCCAATTGTGTAATATGTTGATTCCAAATATCTGCAGATTGTATCTTTAACTCCAACCTGACCAAACTAGCAATTTCTTAAGTTTAGTACACGTTAGTACACATTTAAACTCTTCTGACCATGAAACGAGTTTATAAGTTTCCTTAATTACAGCCAGCGTGAGAGCAATGTGACAAGATACAGCTGTACCAGCAGGCATAACTTAAAGAGTCTTTACCTGCCGGGATCTTGGTCTTCCTTTGGCTGTGTCATTTTTAAGTGGAACATTAAAAAAAAAATATGCTGATATGTAATAGGTTCATAGATTCAACCACAACTCCAGTGCTCATATAAGAAATATATTTCAGAAAGAACGTCTTTACAACAACCATCTAAAAGCTATCAATTTCTAAATGTATTACTGATATCCAATAAGTTGTGTT